AGGGCAGCCCCCCTGAGCCTCGGACACCTTTGTGCAAGAGCCAGGGCACGCCCATTTTTTTTTTTTTTTTTTTTTTTTTTTTTTTTTTCTCTCCATGTTTCCGTCCGCATTTGTGGACACAATCACAGGGGTGATCCTTCTCAACCCCATTCTACTGACAGTTCTGCTTGGGGCAGGCCGCGGTTCAGGTGCAAGCGTTGCTCCCTGGGGCGGATTGGCACTTGGAATGTTGAAGGCTTACGGGGAGATTCTATTATGCGAGTTGACGAAATTGTTCAAGTAGTGCGCAATCGTAACCTGGACATGATTTGCATACAGGGAGCACTCTCGTACATGGAGCCAAATAGTATGCACGACATGGTTGTGCAATCTTGTTGTCTGGTGATCCTGATTCCGAAGTGCGTCGTCATGCGGGCGTTGGCTTCATAGTATCACCGCGCGTTTAATCGAGCATGGTAGCATTCAAGGCCTGCAGTCGGCGGGTGGCTTCGCTAGTCTTAACTTGAAGAGTGGTTTTGCTTATGCTTTGGTATGTTTATGCACCGCAGTGCTCATGACTATTCTGACAGGTCCGCCTTTTACGTCGATTTGCAAAGTAATATATGTGCCGCAACTACACAGTGCAACATGTACCTTGGGAGATTTCTTTGCGCAGCTGGGGCGCTGGGGACCAGGCGAGATTAGTAGCATATTGCGCCTTATGGTTGTCCATGCCCTGTGGATGGCAGCGATGTTGGTGGGAGAGGTCGCCGTGCTCAAGGCGACAGTCGCGCAACTAACCCGAATCTATTGCTAGAGTTTTGATTTACCCTCGACCTCGCCATTGCGAACGCGTTCCATGAGCAACCATATAATCAGAAAGTGATAAGCAGAAAATTGGGTGTGAGTCCGTCAGACGACGACATATGTCATTCAACCTCTTATTACTTTGATAATGGTGTATGCCATTGAGCTGTTGGGCATACGTTTGCCGATATTTGGGTCAGCCTGGGCGATGCTCTTCGCAGCCAACCTTACTTGGTGATTGCAGACAAATTTGGAATCCAATGCAGAACGTCATCCTCACAAGGCGAAGGCGGACACGAATAGCTTGAAGGATCCAGCGAGCATGTCGAAATCTATATCTATTTTCCTAGATGCTTACGATGCCCAGCCAGTGCCAACATATAGTGTGAACAATACATACATACGTCCACAAAACAGTTTTCAACAAGCTGTCGGTAGTCAGCCAACGAGAGCATCTTCAGCGAAACAGGCGTGGACAAGCAAACACACATTGTATTTGATAGAGGAGCATTCACTGGCCCGCAGGCGCGGGGATCACGAAAAGGAGCAACCTCTGCATGCTCATATCCGCAATTCTGGAACGAAAGATCGTGCTGATTATTAGGATTGGCTACTCGAGGATGGCGGTTGAACCCAGAACCATCCAGCATGCATCCATCAAACGACCAGATGGGAGCTTGGCAGACACTCAAAATCGAGCGAACGTCTTGGCTGACTACGTCGGGGACATCCAATGGCAAGTTCGATTTCCAGACCGGGCGCCAGAGGCCCGAGGGCGTCTGGGAGATGTTCTACGGATTGGGACACGCTGTTTCATGCTCCCGGAACTGTCTGCTGCCGTGCTCAAACTACGACTTGGCAAGGCACTTGGACCAGATGGTATGCCGCCAGACTATTGGATAGTCGTTGTATCTTGTCCGGGTGCGAGCGAGACGTTATTTTCATTATGCCAGCAATGTTGGGCTGAAAAATCAATGTTTGGAGACGGGCAAGTGTGGTTATTTTGTTCAAGAAGGCAGACGCAGCTTTGCCATCGAACTATCGGCCCATTTCTTTCCTAGCAGTGGGTTGCAAGATTGTGACATCAATGATCTACCAAAGGTTATTGGATGAAAACGCTGAGTCAAGAATGCGGGGGTTCCAAATTCGGTTTCAGACCCGAGCGAGGAGTGTCTGACGCGGTGGTGCTCATCGGGTGCGTGATTGATGCTGCTTAATCTAACAACGACAGGGGCATGCTCTTGGTTATGTTGGACGGGGCAAAAGCGTCCAACATCTTCAAGCCAGCTTGCCACGTGTGGCGCCCTGCGCAGCTTTGGGCTCCCAGATGATATGGTGGCCATGATTGGGTCTATCTTTGCTGCTATTGCAAAAACGTGGGCCACGCAGGGAACTCGCCAGAAAGACAACTGCGGGCTGGGATCGCTCAGGGCTGCCCCACCTGATCTTTTTTTTTTTTTTTTTTTTTTTTTTTTTGTTATGCTGCGCGACGTGCTGAACGATGTGCCGTGCGAGCCTGTGACGCGGGACATTATGTATGCGGGCGAGACATTTGTAGCTTTTCGGAGAAGCCTCAACCTCCAGAACATGCCGAGAGCGATCGCGAACGAAGGCGCAGACTGTGGTCTGGAACTGTCTTGGGAAACGACATCGCAAATTCAGATAATCACTCATTTAGTTATAGTCCAACAGGATCGGGGGATATCGAAAGAGTGCGAGGCGCAGTATATTCGGGTGGGCTTATGACGTGTGAAGCGAAACCAGCAGCGGAAGTATCGCGCAGACCGGGGGAAGCCACTTGAGCATTGAAGTCGCTATCCAAGGTATGGTCGCAATCTTCAATCGGATGTAAGCGCAAATGCTCCGACGCCTGCGTCCTCAGCGAGCTCTTATGCTCGTTGGATACTACTTGGTGGGTCAAGCCGACCGGCGACGATTGGGCGCTTTCCGTGCTATGTGCGTCAGGCGTCTCTCGGGCAGTCCTTGCTCGTCTGTCTCGTGGGTGAGCGACGCATTTGTTCCCTCTTTCTCATCGAGCTGGCGCCGTTCTGCTTTCGGGATTTTTTCAAGACAAGTTAAGGTGCGTGGCAATGTCGCGGCCTTCTCCGGCACCTCCCTCGCGCGGCGCGTGCTCTGCAGCGACGCCGGGGCATCGGAGACGTTCATCTCCAATTGGAAGCGTGGCCGGCCGCGGCGTCTTTGCGGCAGGGAAGTGCATGGATTGACGCAGTGCGCGTAGCTATTCCTCGGCGCCCCACCCCATGCCTCCTCCAAGCGTGCAGATACGATTGCTTTCTGCAGCGTCTCGCGCGCGTATTTTTTACCTTCGAAGAGTTGCCAATCGCGTTCTCTTCTGCCCGCGCGTCCTGCCGGATGCTTGGCTCCCTGCTGCTGCTGGGCGCGGTTAGCGTTGAACCTTCTGCCCCTTGAATGACTGCAGTTGCAGCGCGCGGCGAAAGGGGCCGAGCGAGGGCCCGAAACCGAGAGATGCGAGGGCCGCAGAAGACGCCGAGCGGATGTGACCGACCGACGCGCCAAACAGGGGCCGAACACCATGTGCGCAATGAGCAATGGCCCGCCCAATCAGGCCCGATGCTTACTTCTATAAGCTAGAGTTCTCAGGGCGCGCTCTTTCTCCACCGCGACCTCGACGCCTCCGGCGCCCCGCCCGCATCAGAGGCATGGCCCGGGAAAGGATGAACAGGCCATGGTGGACAATTGAGGGAGGGTGGGAGTCGCGTCGGAGGAAAGATAGGAAGGGGCAGCGTGCTCAGCCTTTAGGTCCTTCACATGTTTGTTACCCTGGCCCCTGTCTTCGATCGCCATGGCGGACATCTGCGCCTGCGCGGGGTCGATTTTCTGCGCCGCGACGCCGTGATGCGCGCCGACTTCAATAGGAATATTGCTGGGCAGAGTGCGGTCCTGGCACGGCGGCTTGACGTTTTGCCCAATCTTCGAGGGAAGCTCGTCGAACTGCTGCTTGATGAAGCCGATGTCCAGGAGTTCTTCCTGCATCAGATACTTCGTCGGTTTGCTGGTGCCGTATCGCATGGAATTGGCCGTGGAGCTTGTGTTCGAGCTGCGCGAAGTCCATCGTCAAGTCGCAGGCGTGCACAACCGTCTGGTGCTGAGTCTGGGCCATCTGGTCGATCTGAGTGCATCTCCTCAAACAGCTCCAGGACGAAGGCCTTGAACTTGTCATTCAATCGCTCCGCCTCCTTCGCGTGCACCTTGGACATCGGCGCATGGCCTGTTCAGGCCACGCCTTATCTTCGGGCATGGACTCCAATCCAGCGCTTTCGAAGCTGAGTGCCTCCGAAGCCTGCGGGGCAAGTGCCGCGCCAGGGTGCCCAACTCCACGCCTGCACCGGGATCCCTGAGCATCGCCTCCGCCGCAGAGTTGGACGGCTTCTCGCGGGACTTCTCGGCCACCCTCAAAGCCTCAAGGGTCGTTTCGACATGGTCCAGGGGCGAGGCCGCCGCGAACGCCAGGCCGCTGCCAGATGCCGCCCCGCGCGCCGCGGAACTAGCAATGGTTGCGAGCTGCTTACCTTGGGCACCAGCCTCCAGCGCCGCCGTGTCTCGAGTGGGGGATCGATTGCGTAGTCGATTCACCCCAACATTGCTTTTCCGTCGAGTCTACGACACATACGTATAATGCTCCTGAGCTCCACGGGGCATTCTACGCGTTTCCCAGCATATTCGACGGAACCATCATTTTTTTGGTACATCGATTCTGTCATCGACTCCCAGCTCGAATGACAGAACCGCAGTCAGCGGCAGCCGCCGCGCTGGCGGCCATCGCACCCGTGCCGAAGGAGGAAGAAGAGAGGACCCCTGCGGGTGGCGAGGCGACTCTGCAGAGGAGTGAAGGCGAGGAGGAGTACGGTCGGACCGAGGTGTGAGATCGAGGTCGCTTCGAGGAGGATGCCCTAAGGTTCTTCGTGATTGTCGGCTGTTGTTGTGCGCCCTTGGGGGGGGGCACACTGGAATGTTCTGTGTGCTTTGTCCGGCGGACGGTCTCGTGTTTCGGAGGGACTTTCTTCTGTCCCAGGTTCGACTGTAGGCGGAGGGGGAGGGGGGATGAAGAGGAGGAACGAGATGTGGACGAGGAGGACGAGGATGATGGGGATGAGGAGGGGGTGGAAGTGGGGGCGAGGAAGGGGAGGATGGACGGGGGACCGTCCGTCGACAAGTGCGCTCGCCCGCGACAGGTCGGCACAGAAGAGTACATGATGCGCCAGGTGGTCTTCGAGACGCGGGCCGCGCGGATCGCGAGCCACAACTGCGACCCTGCGGTTCTGCACCGGGCCGAGATCAACCACCTCACCGACTGGACCCCGCAGGATCGGGGGAGCCCCCAGGGGGCGGCCCTACTCCGCGCGCGCCGTGGCAAGACATTTTGGGGGGCTGCCGCGAGCATGCGGAGCAGGCCTTGGGAGAGACGTCCGCTGCTGCTGCTCCACCCCGGCCACCCTCCCTCTTTCCTCTTTCTCCTACTTCTTCTTGCATTCTTCCCTCTCGTCCTCATCTCCCTCCCTCCCTGCCTCCTCCCTCCCTCCCTCCTTCCACCTATTTCCTCCTTCTCCTGCCTCCTCCTCCTTCTCCTTCCTCGTCTTCCTCCTCCTTATCCTCCTCTTCCTCCTCCTCCTCCTCCTCGTCCGCCTCTTCCCCCCTCTCTCCTCATCCTTCTTCTTCCCCGTCGCTGTCGCATGTCGCGCCGGACGAGTTCTGCAGCGGCACTGCCAGCGTGCGCATTTCTGATGCGGCAGCGCTTGCAACCACGAACCCTGGCCAGCGGGGCGGGTGCATCGGCCTCCCCTGGGACGTGGGCGCCAGGTTGCCGTTCCGTAGCCTCTGGCTCAAGCCTGCTTCGGTTAGCTCGGCCCTGCGCGACGCAGCGCAGCGGCCTAGAAGCCCTGGCACCACGGCCCGCCCCAGGGGTCGCCATGCGCTGTGCGCCTTGCATCGGGCTCGCTCTCGCTGCTGGTGGCGCCGCGGCTTCCAAGGGTCGCCGCCTGCCGTCCAGCGAGTACCTTGGCCAAGGCTACGACCTGCTGGAGGGGAGCCCAGGGTGAGGTCAACAACGCACGCTTAAATCCGTTTACCCTCTGGTCATCCTGCTGCTGCTACTTCGCTTGCTCTTCGTTTACAAGGCCAATCTTTTACGCTGCCAATTTTGGCGCTTCGCGTATCCTCGCCTGCCTACCTAGAAGGCACCGCCGTAACACAGGAAACGGAGGAGCGTGAGGGGGTGCACCTGTCGAACCAAGCGGGGGAGCAGCCCAAACGATCACCCATCATTGTCAGCTTGATTCCCCTTGAGGGTTTCTTGGTGGCCTTCGGAATCATCTTGGGGCTCTCTTCGGCGGCGAGCCCCGGGGGGGAAGTGAGAAGGGGCCCGTTCTCAGAAGGCTCGGAAGTCCCCCGGCCCGCTGAGAAATTTTCTAAGCCTTCCCCGAGGACACAGGACACCTCTCAGAAGGCGGAGGGCTTCTGAGAAGCCCCGCAGCATTCTGAGAGGGCCTTCTCCTTTTCACTTCCCTATCTCGCTCACCGCCGATCTCTGTGGGCTTTTTTCGGGAGCCTCTCGGGCCGTGTGTGGCCCGTGCACTGGCTCAGTTTTTGTTCTTTTGATGGCCTCTCGCGGTCGCCAGTCTGTCAGGAGGGACAACGCACAGACAAAACTAATCGTCGATTCCCACGAGAGAAAGGCGCAACATGGGAAGTGGAGGGGCAGACGAAACATTAGAAAATATGGAAAATATGGGGAACCCTGGGATTTGTGTCCAGTTATTTATTTGCGTGTCCCTGGGTCCCTTCAGCCTGGGCGTCGTTCAATCTCGGCCGCCTCTTGTCTAGACAGACCAGCGCTGTCGTTCGTAGGGCAGTGTACCCGACTTCTCTTTTCCCTTTTTCGCAGCAAAAACGTAGGCCCGTGTAAGCTTTTCGGGTCCTCTTTGGGCCCCCCTGGAGGCCGTCGACAAGAAGTGGGGGGCCTAAGCTGTGGCTTCCAATTCGGTCCCGGAAGATGGCATCCTGGAGACCTCTTGGCATTCTCTCGGGGTGTTCTTCTTGGAAAGCGTGTGGGGGCCTCTCGGCCTATCCTGGCCAATCTTGGGGTCAAGATGAGGCCGCAGGAAGCCCGAAAGGGTTGAAGCACCTAGGATTTTCCGATGACCCCGACTTCCGCGGGACATACTTGAGAGTGTCTGGGGCCACCTCAGAGCCAGCCCTGGAGCTTCTTCGGGCCGCTTGGAACCATGGTTGGAGGCCATCTGGGCCAAGTTCGGCCATCTGGCGCCATCTTTGGATGTTGCGATGGGTTATCTGGGGAATTCTGCGAGCCATCCAGGAGCATCTTGGACCCTCTGACGACTGGTGACATCGCCGGATCAGAACCTCGACAGGGGTTGTCTTTCCACCAGGGCCAAGAATGGATTTGGTCTGGAAGAGCTGATCAGCTGAAACACTCACGGTCAGAAGGCTGATTGGATTTTCCTCGCAGGAACCCCCACAGCTGGACTGGACCTGTGGACAGCGGCTTCCAGCAGTCCGTGCTGGCCCTGACGTTCGACGATGAGCTCACCGTCGGCCCGTGGACGGTGCCGGACGACACCGACGCCGTCGAAGTGCACAACTGCGCGACGAGCTTCGCGTCACAGGAGATCCGCGGCTCGGCGAGCTACTCCTCCTCGCTGAAGGCGAGCGTGTCGGCTGATTTCGAGGGCTGGGGGGCGGCGTTCAGCGCGAGCACCGCCTATCAGGACGTCGAGAAGAGAACGAGCAGCGACGGCAGCGTGTACGTGCAGGCGTCCGCCACCTGCAGCGTGTACTCGGTACAGGTCAACACGTTCGCGCCGCCGCGGGCGACTCAAAATTTCATCCTCGGTGTGCAGCACCTGCCGACGACCTACACCGCGGCGAACGCGGCGGATTTCAATCTGTTCATATCCACCTTTGGAACGCATGTCATGCATGGTGCAGAGTTCGGTGGCCAGTGGGGTCAGGTGTCCGAGTTCTCGCAGTCGTCGTGGACCAACATGATCAGCTCTGGTCTCGATGTGAGTGCTTCTGCGTCTTACTCTGGCGTAGTTTCGGCTGGCGGTAATCTGTCCTCCGAAGCGGCGCGCAGCGATGCGGAGAGCTACACGAGCGTCGCAAAAGAGCAGAATCATTTCAACAAAGGGGGCACATATTCTCAGGACCCTGTTGCCTGGATGAATTCGGTAAGAGCAGAGCCGATGCCGATCCACTACCAGCTTTGGCCCATATCAGACGTCTTGCAGCCCCAGTTCATGCCTAGCAGCATCAATGTGACAGAGCTCGCAGCCAAGAGGCAGGTCCTAGCTCAAGCTCTCACCGAGTACTGCAGCACCGTGGCTGCCGCGGGCTGGATCTCCTCGTGTGATCCGCCTGCTCCGGACTTGGTCGTGGTACCAGCCAGCCGCGAATGGTTGCCTTTTGTTGACAGCCACCGTCCCAACGGACTCTACTACGCTCAGGAGTGCCCCCCCCGTGCATACATCCATGAGATGGTGTGGACCGAGCAGTACGGTCACGGCCTCGTCGACCTGAAGGCGACCTGCTCCAACAGCTTCACGAAGTCCCTCCGTTGGACCAACAACAACCAGGGCCATGACGACAGTGCCCTGGTGTGCCCCAGTGGTTTCGGCGGGATTCAGGCGAAAGAAGGGTGGGGCTATGGCATCATTAATGTGAGGGCAACTTGCTTGGGAGAGACCACCCCGCAGGAGTCGAACACCAATTCGAACGGGGGCTGGAAAGACTCACAGGCTTGTCCAGATGATGCTCAGGTCCTTGTTGGATTCGAGATACACACCGCTTCGCGCGGGACACGGCCAGACAGCGTTGCGCCTCCTCCTCTCCATCCCCTTCTTTGCCCCCTCAGCGTCCCCCTCCTTGTCCCCCTCGTCCTTGTTCTCCCTGTTTCTCCCCTTTGAGGGCTTTGTGAGCCAAGTTTTGGGACGAGTTGGGGGCCTCGTGGGCCGTCTTGGAAGCTTCCTGGGTCTTGTTGTGTCCCTCTGAGCCGTCTTCGGGGTCTTCTGGCATGTCTCGGGGCGACAGGACCCTGTTGGGCCATTTGTGGGGCCGCCCGGGGCCGTCTTGAGCTGCTCTCTGACCTCTTTGAAGCGTCTTCGGGCTCTCTTTGGCTGTCCCTGGGCCTTTCTTGGGGCCCTCTTGGGGCCCATGATGGGCCCTCTTCGGGGCGGTCTTGGGCTACTGGGGCGCTATGAAGGGAGAGCAGGGAGCATGCGTAAACGATGCAAAGGCAGACGTTTTTTTTGTTTCCGTGGTTTTGGCACGGTCGGGTCGGGGCCTCCTGGGCCCTTACTGGCGCGCCTTGAACTGTTTGGCAGGCATCTTCGGGCCCCGATGTGTCCTCGTGGTCCCTCTTGGAGCCTCTTTGTAGCCCTCTTTGGCCATCTTCGGACCGAATTGAGCCATCTTGGTGCTGTCTTGGGGCGAGTTTGTGAAGACGGCGGGATTGAGTCCGCGGTCGGCTCAGGCGTCGGCAGATTTGGCGCGGCCCGCCGGGAGGGTTATGTGGGGGCAATGACATGTGATCATATTCTATTTTTCGTAGTGTATACTTAGCATCTGTATTACAGATGGGGTATGGGAGGCTACGCCTAACGACCGGCCCCCCTTGGCATGTTCCTCCGTCGCAGTCCGGCCGTGTATTCATTACCAGCTCGAACGGGGGCTGGAAGTATTCGCAGTGTGAGGCCATCCTTTAGCGACTGGCGGGAAGTTCGCCATGGGCGAACTAAGTGAGAGAGCAGGGGCGTGGTGGCGTTGGAAGGTATATGTTCTAGGCCTCCCAGATGGGGTCCGAGTGGGTTGGGTCGGTGGATTTCGCCGCATCGCCGATGCATCGCCGATGTGGCCTACTCTCTCCACGCCGGCGTCGCCGACGCATCGCCGACGTCGCCGATGCATCGGCGTTGCATTGACGATGCGGCACGATCCTTCGACCCCATCTGCTCGGACGCCATCTAGGAGGCCTCTATATGTTCGGTGCCGTGGTGGGAAGGGAGACGTACACGGGCGACGTGGGCAGGGGGGAATGGTTGGGGGGGACGGCCCGGCCTCGTCCCCCTCCTCCTCAGAGATTCAGGAGGGAAAAACACACACAGACACAATCAATCGTCGATCCCCCAGAAAATATTGGAAAATCTGGGAAGTGGGGGGGGAAGACACAAGCCCCGAAAATAGGGGGAAATGTGGGGCATCCGGTTCTTTGCGTGCATTTCTTTGTGTGTCCCAGGGCCCCTTCAGAGACATGGTCCTCGGGAAAGGGGACGCGCGAGGCAGGCACACTCAGACCGTGAAGGCCGCCGCGCGCGCCGACGAGCAGGTGCGAGCTCTCAAAGAGGGCCGCCGACTGTCGCGGCCGGCCTGGACGGTATCCCCTGGGGCCGCAGGCGACCCGAGGAGGAGGAGGAGGAGGAGGAGGAGGAGGAGGAGGAGGAGGAGGAGGAGGAGGAGGAGGAGGAGGAGAGCCCAGGTGTCGTCAAGAAGGGGGCATGCGGCCGCGAGGAGGGGCTATAGCTCGAAGCAGCAGAACGCCATGAGTATAAACTTTTGGCGCTCCGCGCGGATTTCTTGGATCCGCGCTGGGCCCCCCTGGCGGCGTCTCCAGCGCCGCCCCTGGCGCGCTCCGCGCGCCAGGGAGGGGGTCCAGCGCAGATCCAAGAAATCCGTGAGGACCGTCAGAAGTTTATGTTTATGCAGTTCTTTCTCTTTCGAATGACAGAGAAAGGAGCAGGAGCAAGAGCTGAAGAGAAAGCAGAAGGGACGGACGGCAAGGATGATGCAGGGCCCTCTTGGGGCCGTGTTGGGGCCATCCTGGGATCTTTTGGGGCCTCGTTGGGCCTTTTGGGCCTTTCTGGCATGTTAGGGGAGTCCCGAAGGGCTCGGGGTCACCTCGGGGCGGTCTTGGGCTATTTGATTGTTGTGCTATATGGAGGGTGTCTGGGACCTTGTCGGGCGCTCCTGTTGGCTTCTTGGATCCTTTGTCTGCAGCCTCTCTGGGAGAAGGTCACGGGGAGCGCCGAAGACCCAACATCCTGGGCGAGGAGATCGGCAAACGGCTGGAGGAAGTCCTGCAAGCTTGGAGAGGTCGACAGGGAAGAGGGCGAGGAGGAGGAGGAGGAGGAGAAGGAGGAGAAGGAGTAGGAATAATGCAGAGAAGGAAAGGAGGAGCAGGAGAGGTGGACAGTGGATCAGACAAGCCAGCGGCCCGAGGCGCCCAAGGCGGGGTCGACCTGGTCATCACGGGGGCTTCAAAGGCATTTCCCTCGAGAGGGCGCGAGATATCGCTGACTTTTGTCCTATTTTGGGGCCCTCTTGGGCTATTTTTGGACCCTCTTGGGTCGCACTTGGTCCCCTTGGAGTCCCTTGCAGCCATTCGGGATCTTTTGGGGTAATCCGGGGGCCGTCTGGGGGCGCCTTGGGGCCATCTTGCGCTGGTCGCGATCCGTGTTGGGTCTGTGTTGGAGGCGTTTTTGATGCCAATTTGGGAACTCTTGGGTGCTCATGCGGGCCTCTCGGGGCCTCTTGGTAGCCTCTGGGGCTCTTTTAGAAGCTAGCTGGAGATGAAGCGTAGAAAGAGAGAGAGAGAGAGGGAGAGAGAAGCATCTGTATATATCTCTATATATATATACACACAAGACTGCAGTGGCGCTTCGCGCCATGCACCTTGGTCCTTGAAGTTTGGTGTGCAGGCGGACTGGCAGGATGGTCAAGTCGACAATTTAGCGATAACTCCTTCTTGCCTTTTCTGGCATCGCCGCTATAATAATGTTATTCGTTATCCTTCCTCCATGCTTCTTTTTCCTCATTTTCGCCATGCCCTGCGCATTCTCCCCATCCTCCTCAGCTCTTTTTTGCGGAGGCTCCTCTTTGGAGAGCCTCTGGGGTTCTCACAAGAGTTGTTTCAGGCTTTCTTAAGGCCTTCTGGAGGCCTCCTGGGCGTGTTCTGGGGGCCTCTGGGGGCTTCCTCGGGCCACCCTGCCTCCAACCGCGGTCTCCCTGAACGACCGGGTCACAATTTGGAATGCTTCGGAGGGTGTCTTAGGGCCATCTTGGGCCGCCATGGGGCTCTCTGAGGGCCATCTTGGAACCCCTGTTGTGCTGTTTTGGGGCTCTCTTGGACTGCCTGGAAGCCCTTTCCGATGGTTGTGGGGCGATTTTGGAGCCTCCCAGGCGGCTTCGGACGCCCAGAAGACCGCCGTCTTGGAGCGTCGGGAAGCCGAAAAGAGGAGAACCCCCAAATAAACCAACAACCAACAGAAAATCAATGATTTTTGCCTCTTGGGACCTTCTTGAGAGTGCTCTTGGAGGCCTCTTGGGACGTTTCGGGACAATCTTTGGGGATATGACGGCTTCTTGGGGGTCGTCGTGGACCGTATTGGGGCTCCCTGGGGTCGTTTCGGGAGCGCGCCACGCCCTGCGAGGCCCTGGGGGCCGCTTCGAGGCCCGTCCGGAAGGTCCCAAAAGCCCCAGATCCCAGGAGTCTGTTTTTTTTTTGGGGGGGGGGGGGACGGGTTTTCCGCCCGCCCGGGCTTGTAAAAATATAGGAAGAGGTACAACTATATGTATAGTTATATACACACATATGTATATATGTATGTATGTCTGTCTGTCTGTCTGTCTGTCTGTCTGTCTGTCTGTCTGTATGTATGTATGTATGTATGTATGTATGTATGCATGTATGCATGTATGTATGTATGTATGTATGTATGTATGTATGTATGTAGGTAGGTAGGTAGGTAGGTATGTATGTATGTATGTATGTATGTATGTATGTATATATGTATGTATGTATATATATATGTTTATTTGTATACGTGTATATATGTGTATGCATATGTATGTGTGTGTATGTATGTATGTATGTATGTATGTATGTATGTATGTATGCATGCATGCATGCATGCATGCATGCATGCATGTATGTATGTATATGTATGTATGTATGTATGTATGTATGTATGTATGTATGTATGTATGTATGTATGTATGTATGTATGTATGTATGTATGTATGTATGTATGTCTGTATGTATGTATGTATGTATGTATGTATGTATGTATGTATGTATGTATGTATGTATGTATGTATGTATGTATGTATGTATGTACATATATATATATATATATATATATATGTATATATATACATATATCAAAGAGCGAGTTCTACCGCTGCTGGCGGAAAACCGGGGGAGGTCACTGGGGGTTCCCAACCCGTCTCCCCTCCCCCTCCTCGAAAACCGGGGGGGGGTCACTACCGGTTCGAACCCCTCCCCCCCCAGTCCATCATGAAAAGGGGGGGGAGGGGTCACTACCGGTTCCAACCCCCCCGTCCCCCTCGCCGCCGACAAGCGATTGCCGCTCCTCGGGACAGTTGGACAATGGTGGGGATGCTGGGACAGTTGTTGTGGGAACGGTGGTGGTGGGGACAGTGGTGCGGGGACAGTGGGACAGTAGTGCGGACAGTGGTGGGGACGGTGGTGGTGGGGACAGTGGTGAGGGGACAGCGGGACAGTGGTGGGGACAGTGGGACAGTGGTGGGGACAGTAGTGGTGGGGACAGTGGTGAAGGCTGTGGTGAGGACAGTGGTGGGACAGTAGTACAGTGGGGAAAGCGGCGGGGACAGTGGGGACAGTGGGACTGTGGTGGGGACAGTGGGGACGGTGGGACAGCACAGTGGGACAGCGGCGGGGACAGTGGGACAGTGGTGGGTACAGTTGGGACAGTGGGACAGTGGTGGGGACCGTGGGGAAAGTGGGGAGTGTGGGACCGTGGTGGGAGAATGGTGGGGAGAGTGGGGACAGTGAGACACTGGTGGGGGCAGTGGCGGGGACAGCGGGGACAATGGTGGGAACAGTGGGGACAGTGGGACAGTGGGGGGGACGGTGGTGGTGGGGACAGTGGTGTGGGGACAGTAGGAAAAGCAGTGGGACAGTGGAGGTTACAGTGGTGGTGGGGACAGTGGTGAGGGCGGTGGCGAGGACGGCGGTGGGACAATGGGACAGAGGTGCAGTGGGGACAGTGGTGGGGACAGTGGGGACAATGGTGGGAACAGTGGGACAGCTCAGTGGGACAGCGGCGGGAACAGTGGGACAGTGGGACAGTGGGGACAGTGGGACAGTGGTTGGGGCCGTGGGGAAAGTGAGGAGACAGTGGTGGGGGCACTGGTGGGGACAGTAGGGACGGTGGTGGGAACAGTGGGGACAGTGGTGGTGAGGACAGTGGTGCTGGGGACAGCAGTGGGGGATGTGGGGCGGACGGTGGTAGGGACCCGGGAATCGTTTGCTGGCGGTGGGCGTGAAAGGGGGGGGGGCGGGAGGGGTTCGAACTGGTAGTGACCACCCCCGGTTTTCTGGAGGAGGGGGGTTCGAACCGGTAGTGACCCCTCCCGGTTTTCTGGAGAGAGGGGAGGGGTTCGAGCTGGCAGTGACACCCCTCTAGTTTTCTGGGGGGGGAGGGGTTCGAACGGGTAGTGACCCCCTCCCGTTTTCCGGTTTTCCGGGGGGGGGGGGTTCGAACCAGTAGTGACCCCTCCCGGTTTTCCGGAGGGGGGTGGGGGGCTTGGGGGAGGGGAGAGGTTTTGCCAGGGGGAACGGGGGGGGGGTTCAGCAGGGGGGGGGGCATTTTCGGAGGGGGGGGGACCCGCGGGTTTTGGAGGAAGAGGGGGGGAATTGTCCACAGTGAAGCGGCGGTGGATCACGCTCTCTCTCGCATATATATGTATGTATATATGTTTGTATGTATGTATGTATGTATGTATGTATGTATGTATGTATGTATGTATGTATGTATGTATGTATGTATATCTATCTATCTATCTATATATGTATGTATGTATGTATGTATGTATGTATGTATGTATGTATGTATGTATGTATGTATGTATGTCTGTATCTATCTATGTATGTATGTAGGTATGCATGCATGCATGCATGCATGCATGTATGTATGTATGTATGTATGCATGTATGTATGTATGTATGTATGTATGTATGTATGTATGTATGTATGTATGTATGACTGTATGAATGTATGTATGTATGTATGTATGTATGTATGTATGTATGCATGCATGTATGTATGTATGTATGTATGTATGTATGCATGTATGTATGTATGTATGTATGTATGTATGTATGTATGTATGTATGTATGTATGTATGTATGTATGTATGTATGTATGTGTATATATATATATATATATAATATATATATATATATATATAGGTATGGTCGCCTCCCCCCAAATCATACATTTTCTTCTCTAGTGCCTCCATCGTCGATCGATCTCTCCTCCCCCCTCCCCTTCCTCCCCCTCCTCCTCCTCCTCCTCCTCCTCCTCCTCCTCCTGAAGGAAACCCTGTGTACTTTTGGTTTAATGTTTTTTCTTTGGTTTTGCAGGCCCGAATGCTCGCGCTGGTCTCCCTCTCAGCACCCTTCCATGCGCCTCAGACCAAAAGAACCAAACATACACTGTTTCGCGCCTTCGATGCAAGGCAACTTTTTTTGTGTTTTGGTGTTTTTGGTCAGTGAAGCAAGGAAACCTTGCGTTTTTCTTTTTTTTGGGGGGGGGGGTGCAAGCCCCACGGGTGCTGGTAGGGAGGCCAGTGCGAGCGTCGGGGCTTGCAAAACCCCCCAAACAAAATTATCCCAGTGCGACCCTACCAAGGAGTTGGAGCCTCTAGGAAAGCAGCATTAGTAGGAGCGGTAAACGCCGTCCTCCTCCTTCTCCGGGTTTCATGTCTCCCGGCCGGTGCTATGTGCGAAACCTTCGTGAATCCTACGGGCTCAAGCTGCCCCACTAAGGGCTCAAGATGGCCCACAGACGGACAACATGCATGGAACATACGTGCGCACACACACGTATAAGTACACACACACATATATATATATATATATATATATATATATATATATATATAGATATATGCATATCTATACAGATACAACAGCAGCAATAGTGGATGCTGCGCTGCGCTATGCTATGCTATGCTCTGCTCTGCTCTGCTCTGCTCTGCTCTGCTATGCAATGCTATGCTGCGCAATGCTATGTTGGGCTAGGCTAGGCTATGCTATGCTATGCTTTTGCTTTGCCTTCGCTTTTGCCTTCACTTTCGCCTTTGCTTTTGCTTTTTCTTGGCACCCAGGGAGCGCAACTGGGGGAACCGCGCGTTTGCTTTTACCTTTGCTGTTGCTTTTGCTTGGCTCCCAGGGGACTGGGGGAACCGCCCGGGGCGGTTTACACTGCCCGGCCCCTTTAAGCCAACAGAGTAAGAACCCTTCTAGGCAGAGCCTAGGTAGAGAAAAAACCCAAACAACCAAACATACACAAGGTTTCTTTGTTTCTCGGACCAAAAAAAACAAAAACAACAAAACCAAACTTACACAAGGTTTCTTTGCAACGAGGGCGCCACACCCTGTGTATTGTTACTTCGTTCTGTGGTCTGGGAGGCACGAGAAAAGGTGCTGGGAGGGGCTCGACTGGTGGGCGACGACGACGACTACGACGACGCAGTAATTGTTCGCCATGAAACAGCATGACACGCGCATGAATCTGGGCTCGATAATAGATCTGCGAGGTGCGATGCAGCGGGCTAGCGGCTCATCTAGGGCACAGGGGTCCTTCTCTTTCTCCTTCTCCGTTCCTTCTCTTTCTCCTTTCCCTTTCCTCCTTCTCCAAGCACAATTCCTCCTCCTGGCCCATCATCCTTCTTCTCCTTCTCCTTTCCGTTTCCTCCTCTCTGTAGCAACGCAAAACCAAGAATACTCAGTGTTTGGCGCCCTCGGAGCAAGGAAACGCTGTGGATGTTTGTTTTTTTTGTTTGTTTGTTTTTTTGGTATAGGATTCAAGGAAGCATGGTGTATTTTTGGTTATTTGTTTGTTTGTTTTGTTTTGGAAGCTCAAGTGCTCCCCGCGGCATCCCCCCCAGCACCTCCTCTTTCTCCAATTTCCTCTTTCCCCCAAATCCCCTTCTCCTTTCCTTTCCTCCTCCTTGTTGCAAAGCAAGAAAACTGGGAATACACAGTGTTTGGCGCCCTTGGTGCAAGGAAACGCTGTGTATTTTTGGTTGTTCTGTTTTTTTTGGCTTGTGAGCTCCGGAGCATGGTGTATTTTTGGTTATGTTGGTTTATTGGCTTTGGAGCTCCGGAAGAGAAGGATGGGGAGGTGCTGGGGAGAGGCAGCGGTGAGCATTTGAGCTTCCCAAACCCAGAGAACCAAAGTAACCAAACATACACAGTGTTTCTTTGCATCCTAGACCCAGAAAGCCAGAACAACCAAGCATACACAGCGTTTCCTTGCACCAAGGGCGCCAAGCACTGTGTACTCTTGGTTTTCTTGCTTTGTAACAAGGAGGAGGAAAGGAAAGGAGGATATGGAGGGGGAAAGAGAAAGGGGGAGAAGTAGGAGGCGCTGGGAGGGGGAGGCCGCGGGGAACACTTGAGCTTCCCAAACAAAAAAGATAACATACACAGTGATTCCTTGCATCCTAAACCCAAGCAGTTAGAAAAACCAAAGATACACAGCGTTTCCTTGCACCAAGGGCGCCAAACACTGTGTATTCTCGGTTTTCTTGCTTTGCAGCAAGGAGGAGGGAAGGAAAGGAGGAGAAGGAGGGGGAAAGAGGAATGGGGGAGAAGGAGGAGGTGCTGGGGGGGAGGCCGCGGGGAGCACTTGAGCTTCCCGAGCCCCCAAAAAACAAAATTCTCAAACACACGCAGTGTTTCATTGCATCTTAAACCGAAAATGCAAGAACAACCAAAGATACACAGCGTCTCCTTGCTCCGAGGGCGCCAAACACTGTGTATTCTTGGTTTTGTGCTGCTACAGAGAGGAGGAAACGGAAAGGAGAAGGAGGAGAAGGATGATGGGCGAGGAGGAGGAGGAGGAATTGTGTTTGGAGAAGGAGGAAAGGGCAAGGAGAAAGAGAAGGAACGGAGAAGGAGGAAAAGAAGGAACGGAGAAGCAGAGAGAGGATGATGAACGTGAATACGATTCAAGATACAATGTATGATCTTGGGGATGGGGCGGACCATATCTATATATGTATATATGTATAGGGAGAGAGAAAGAGAGAGCGAGAGATAATCACTCATGTATGAACATTACACAAGTTTGATGATTCTCGCCTCTCGGGGGGTCCTGTGCATAGCCATCTCAGAGCCTCCCGGGACGACCTTGGGACCAACTTGGGGCCATCTTAAGGTAGGCCTGTTAAGCCGTCTTCGGCGCTTCCTGGAGCCCTCTGAGGCAATCTTCGGGACCTCTGGACGCTCTATTGGGCTGTCCGGAGGTCAAAGACGGGGTGCCTTTGAGAGGCCGCTGAGACCGTTCAAATTCTTTGGACGTTGGGTATGGCTCAGTTCGAAAGTTTTTCTCGGGGAAGCACGAGGGCAAGCAACAACATCGAACAACATCTGGTTCACGCGATAACTGTTGCATTGCAGGGCCTCCCTTGGTCGCTCTTTGTAAAGCTCTCGGGGCCTTTCGTGTATCTCGTGAGACCTCTGCACCTCCTTCACAGTATTGGATGTCTCTTGTGCCGTCCTGGCGGCTTTCTGGGGCCCTCTTGGGCCGTTTTGGGGCCGACTGGGGGAAAACTGTTTTTCTTCGCCCGGGTGAGTGCTCCACCCCTCAAGCAAGCGAAAGGGGGGTCTTACTGAGTTCGTGGGGATCAATTCCGCACGCCCGGAGATCCCAGAGGGCTCGGTGGATTTTGGAGGTATATGGTTACGGGATCGTCAACTACCGTCCCAAGTGCTCGAACGGGAATCTCCCCTCCCGTCGCCTACGGGGCCCATTGGTTATTTGAGCAGCGTTCGCCATTCAGGGCGCGCGAGACTCTTTTTTCAAGCTTGCAAATCTGATCGTGCTTTATCGTCAAACCCATGCACTTCGCGCGTCATTCAAATGTAATGTTGTGTGCAGTGAGAACTGCTGCGTGCATAGAGAAGTGCATACACTACCCAGGGCACCAGAAACGCCAACAAACATTGGTGCGGCATTAGCCGGCGTAATTCGCAGGCCTGGCCAACAAGCGCCACGCATAGATGCTGGCTTATGGACATCGCACCGCAAGCGTACAGGTCGCAGCATCACGTCAGGTCGTAGCTACATCAAGCATGTGGGAGGTCGCTGCCCGAACTCTGGGTGGATATCGAGTTCTCCTCCGCCGCCAGCGCCTTGAGGAGCAGAGGGGATGACGAGAAGGAGGATTAGGAGAGGTGAGGAGGAAGAGGAGGATGAGGAGGGAGAAGTGGAGGTGGAGAAGGAGGAGGGTGAGAGTGATAGGGGGTATGAGGAGGGTAAAGGGGGAGCGGAGGGGATAGAAGGAGGAGGAGGAGGAGGATGAGGCGGATGAGGAGGAGAAGGAGGAGGCGGATGAGGAGGAGGGGGAGGATGTGGAGGAGGGAAGAGGAGGATGAGGAGGAGCAGAACAAACCCAAGATGCATCAGCGATGCAGCTATCACCCCCCCGTCCCAAGCTCCCTTCTCCTCTTCCCCCTTTCCCTGATACTAGTTTCGACCTGCTCCCCATCTCAAAGCGTGCTTGGTCCCTGGTCTGCTTCTGATGTCTTGGGCGGCGTCGGGGTGCGCCCCATTCCCGGCCCCACTGCCTTCCAGCGGCGAGATAGTTGGGGGGCTGAGGCTAGGCGGCCTTGTTATGTCACTCCTCATAATTCTATATCGGCCCTCAAGAGGAGCTCGCGACGCTTCCGGGTCCAATCCGCTTTCCATAACCCCCCCTCTTTTCCTCGTTCCTTACTCCTCTCCTCTTCCAGACCTCCGTTCCTCCTTTCGTTCTTCTTTCCTCCTTTCCCTCGTTCTTTTCCTCCTTCACTCCTTTTCCTCGTTCTTGCGGGTGGTGGGGTGGCTGCATTATTCACACAAGTGAAGATTTCATAACAATTTGAACATCTGGTTCTGTGGGGCCAGCGGGTATGATTCCTCTGAGCCAATAAGAGGCCTGGCAGCTGAGCGCGCGCGTCGAACCAACACATCTCGACACTATTACTATTAAAACCTGATCGAGGAGGGGCTCTGGCCAAAGCTCTTGTCCTTGTCGGAGCAATGCGCCAGATGCCTCATCCCAGCTTGATGAATCTCTTCGCTTCGCGAACTGGCCACTCCCACTCGCACTCTCTGCTCTCGTCATCCTTGCCTCCGAGACCTGGGTCCAGTCTGGGCAGTCTTGCCTCGGCGTGCGGCGGGCGCCTGCTCGTGCCGTTGCGGCAGCGAGGGCCCTCGCCGCGCTCGGAGGCAGACGTGGAACGCACGTGGCCGACTCGGGCACGGCGGGCGGCGGGAAGACGAGGCGCGCGCGGAGGGGGGAGGGGGGCACGCCCAGCACGCGGAGAGCTCCTGCGCGTGCGCGTCGGGGCGCGTGCACGGCGCGGAGGCGGAGGTCCGTGGAGGGAGCGGAGCTCGCAGCGAGGGTGGTCTACCGTCCAGGGCAACAGCAGAGCGAGCGCTCCAACATTTCAGACGTCGTCGTCGTCGTCGTCGTCGTCATCGGCGGCGGCGGCGGCGTCGGCGTGCCCCGGGGCTCCAGCATCCGACGAGCAAGAACCGGCACACACATTTTTCCCTCGAGCGTCCCAACCTGCGCGGCGGGAAGTGGCGATCAAACTACCCCAATCCGGAACCAGAAAGTGAAACAAGAAGGATGCAGCTGGGACTAAGAACCGGCACACACACAAACTTTCGGAGCTCCGTGCGGATTCCTTGGATCGGCGTTGGCCCCCCTGGCGGCGCCTCCGGCGCCACCCCTGGCGCGCTCCGCGCGCCAGGAAGGGGCCTTCAGCGCAGATCCAGGAAACGCGTGCGGACCTCCAACGGTTTATGCCGTTTTTGTTTCCTCAGACAGGGCTTCTGTGGGGTCTCTGGCGGGTCGGGCATAGAAGCGTAGATTTTTAGAGAGTCCCTGCGCATGGAGCCGGGGCCAGCGACGATGGTTACGCCTTGCCCCTCGCATTGTCGACGCCGGCGTGCTATTGTACATGCTCATGCGTGCGACCTGCAACCAATGTGCCGTCTAGGCACGGTTCACCTGACCTGAGACAGGGCAGGTCGCGACCGCCTCCCGCGACCGCCTCGCCGTCGCGCGGCTGCTGGCAAGGGGCAGCGCGACCGGGCCGCCAAATTGACGAGGGCCCCCGGCCCCCTCGCCGAGGCCGCCTCAGACAAGCCCGCCCCTGACGTCGCTGGCGCTCGTTCGATTTTCATCGTCGGTCGAGTTTTGTTTCTTCAGGCAGGGCTCGGGGAGGGAGACAAGCTCCCCCTCTCGGAGGGCACCAACTATACACCAACACCGATCCTGGCCCAGGTCACCCTGGGCCCATGATCGGTGTATATGCCTTCTTGCCCAAGGCAGGAGGGCGTATACACCGATCCTGGGCCCAGGGTGATCCTGGGCCAGGATCGGTGTTGGTGTATAGTTGGTGCCCTCCTAGGCTCGGGGAGGGAGACAAGTTCCCCCTCCCCCCCGAGAGGAGCTCGCGACGCTCCGGGGCCACAAGATGACCCGCCGCGGCGGCGGCGGGGCGGCCCTCGGCTCGACGCCCTTCCTGCTGGCGAAGAGGGGCAAGGACCGCGGCATGCCATCGCCGTCGCCGTCGCCGTCCTCGTCCTCGTGCTCACCGCCGCCGCGGCCGTCGCCGCCGTCGTCGTTGCTGTGGGGAGGAGGAGGAGGAGGAGGAGGAGGAGGAGGAGGAGGAGGAGGAGGAGGAGGAGGAGGAGGAGGAGGAGGATTCCCAGGATCTCAGGATATCCGCCATCACGTGGAGATGAGAGGCTGAGCTCAGCACTCGGGGAGCAGCCCACGACCGATCCCATCATGATATTCGCGCCTGGCCTTGGTAAGCAAATGGGGGCGGCACGGATTTCCTGGATCCCTCAGCTGGGCCTGGCCGAAATGTCCGCACGCGCCGCAGAACCAGATACCAAGGTCTTTGTGACACTGAAGGGCGTTTGAGGGATGCGCCCAGCCACCTGCCAAGTGTAAACTTCGTCCTGACGGGACTCGGGATCACTTAGAATCAAGAGGCAGGGGGGGATGCGCGCGCACTTTTTGACCACTTGGGCGCTCGAGCTTTAGACGCCGAGCTGAAGCCAACCGTACATGGTCTGCGGTTCTCGGCCAGGGCTTGTGCAGACTTTTTGATTCGCGGCCCGCAAGGAAAAGTCCAGAGGGCGGTGTGAACGAGGGCTTGTGCAGACGCGAAGCGTGCACTATCAATAGGTGGCGGAGGCCGAGGAGGGGGGGTGAGCCTGCTGGGCGCCAGGGGCGGTGCGATCCCCTCTGAGCTCCTGGAAGGCCTTGCTCGACTCCAAGCCTACTCGCAAGAGACGCCGCCAGACGAGCCGAGCCTTCCGCTCGATATCGTGCACCCTGAAAATGCCAAACTCAGGAACTCTGGCCCTATCGGCCGCTTCCCCCGCCAGCACATCCGCACATGTGTTCCCCCGAACGAGCCAGCAAGGCCAGCCTTTGCGCAGGACCACCTCTCCTGATGTCGGAAGCAAGCCTCTACTGAGAACTGATCGTGGCGCCAGGCTTGCACCACAAGTCTGATTGTGTGGCCCACGAGGTGACTGGACGGCCCCTCCGTGCCATCCTCCAGCGACCTTGGCACGGCCGTTGATGTGCAGAAGAGGCCCTGCCGTAGGCCCAACGGCCCGCTCGAAAGCTTGGAGATCTCCCCACGAGGCACCGCTTTTGGGAGGGCCCCGCCAGTGGCCCCAGGAGGTGAGGCTCAGGAGGGGAAAAAACACACAGACACAATTAATCGTCGATTCCCAGGAAAATATGGGAAAATATTGGAATTGGGCGGGAAGACAAAACCCCAGACAATATGGGAAACTATGGGGAGTCTTTTTATTTGTGTGTATTTATTTGTGTGTCCCAGGGCCCCTTCAGAGGCCCCAGAACGCACGGCGACAGCGATTGGAACACAGTCACAGCTTGTCCTGCTCTTCGTAGCCTGCTGTCGTGGGTGTCCCTCCCGCCAGAGGAGGTCCCCCCAACACGCGCACAGACTGACCAGGAGAAGCCATGGCCTAGGCATCCAGGTCCGAGACTGGGCTCCCAAGGAGACCTCCTCGGAAACGGGTAGGGCAGTTCTAGTCCACGTAGCGGAGATGATACCGCCCATCCCAACACATGGAAGCGTGTCTTGTTCTGCTATAGCTTCTGGCACTAGCTCATCAAACTGAACAAAAGCTGGCGAATCACGATTATTTCACAAGTCTAACACCGATGCAGCTCGGTGTCGGGCGCCTCGCCGCAAGCGTCGCAGCAGTCGTGCGGGGCCAGCTTCGCCTCGAACTTTCTCTGATGCGTACAGAAGCTTCCGTGGCGATCGTGACCATCAACTTTGACAATTGCGCGCCTTTCCTCGCGTGCAACAGGGACTAGATCAGGCCCCTGTAGCTTTGAAGATCCACTCCACCTTCGAGCCCTCCACCACAGAAGAGACCCGCTGCCTCCCGCTAGAGCTGCTCGCTGAAGGTGTGCTGAAGCTCATCCAGCAATGGTTGCGCCTGGTCCAGGCCAACAGACGCATCCGCGAGAACCTCCCAAGTATGCGATTTGATTGCTGCCGCCACTCGGCACCTGCCATGCCGTGGCCGAGGTTCTAACCCAATTTGCTTGTACCAAGTGCAGCACTACGGGAGATAATGGTCCTCTAACGTGTCGGCTCCATTGCCCTGCAGGCGCATCTTGGCACAGAGCGTGCAACTTCCGCCTCCCATCTTTAGTTGTGCGCGTGTAGTTAGGTCAGCGGCGTCCAGTGCTCTTAGCCTCGTTCATGGTGGGCGGCTTCATGCCATCGGCTCGATGACGTCTGCACAGCTTGATGAAGAGATCACCTTCTTGATACCTTTCTTTCTCTTCGAAGCGTCGCATCGAGTATGTAGGTTTAGAATATTAGCCTACGTCTTCTGGTGAGAAAGGGTGCGGCCCAGTAGTGGTGTGCACCCGCAGTAATCTCAGCCCCGCGCATGCCCATCTGACAACGACGGCGGCTCGAAGTTTCTTCGTCCTTTGCGATGGAGCTCTACTCTAGGTGTGTATGGTGCGATCCCAGGCTCAGCCGTGGCGGTTGAGGACAAGTCTAGCGGTGGTTGACATGCACAGGAGGCCGATAATGACGATGATTCTGCTGCTGCTGCTGATGATGCTGATGCTGATGCTGATGCTGATGCTGATGCTGATGATGATGACGATGATGAAGATGATGACGACGACGATGACGACGACAACGTCGACGACGACGATGACGATGATGATGATGATGATGAGGAGGAGGAGGATGAGGATGAGGATGAGGATGACGATGACGACCA